CTACATATTTGGGGGTACCTGGGTATCTCTCTCAAATAAATAAATAAAATCTTTAAAAAAAAAAAAAAGAATGACGTGGTACAAAACCTCAGTAGTGCAGAGCGTGAGAAACCCCGTGTTAGACATGGAAAGATTATTCTGTCTTGATGTCTTCCCAGGCCAGATCAGAGCCCACCCTACCCTCTCAGCATCCTGGGCCTCTCCCTGATGGAACCTACACAATTGCCAGCAAGAGATTATCACTGAAATGCCGCTATCTGCGGACAGTGCGGCCACTCTGCAGGGTGGCAACCAGTGCCTGGGACTTGGAGAGTGCTCCACGAGCATTTCTCAGTCATAGCAGAGGACACCAGTCGAAAGGCGCGCGCCCTCAGCTCCACCGAATGGATGACTGGATGCATGCTCTCAGCCACAAGCCTCAGTTTACCCTCACCCTAGTGTTGCCCAGGTCACAGCCCAGCTCCACTTGCCAGCACGTCACCTCGGGCAAGTGACAACCTGTCTGATCACAATTCCCTCATCTGCAAAATGGGGATGATGATGCCTCCCTCATAGTGCTTTTGTAGAATCAAGCAAGCATGGGCACGTGGAGGGCTTGATGCAGTCTAGACCCACCTCCTTTCTGGGCTACACATTGGAGACGTACGCACTCACTTCTCTCATTCACTACAGTGGAGCTTAGGAAGGAGTGGTCTACACTCGCCTTCCCTACCTTCTGACCTCCCGTCTCCTTCCTAACCCACTTTGGCCAACCCCCTCCTGGGTTCCACGGCTGCTGGGGCATATCTCGCTGTGGGGCTGTCAGTTTCAGAAAGCAGAGCCCTTGGATCCGGGGGTGAGCGCATGCCCCCCGAGCCCCACCTGCGTGCAGGGGACCTCTGCCCAGGATGCTCACATGTGGCTGGCTCACTCCCTCTAGAACACACACTCATCCACGTCCATCTGGTGAGAATCCCAGCACGTGCCCACTGCCACTAGAGTGGCTCATCCTCACTGAGGTCAGGTGCTCTCTCTGGGGGCACCCCTGGTCCTCGCTTCCCATCAAACCCGATGGGGGGGCAACTCTCCCTTCTCCTTTATTCTCTCTTTTTTAATTAAGATGAAATTCACATAACATAAAATTAACCATCTTAAAGGGAACAATTCTGTGGCATTTAGTATAGTTCCAATGTTAGGCAGCCACCCCGTCCATCTAAGTTCCAAGACATTTTCATTCCCCCAAAAGGAGAGCTGGGGTGCACGATCGATTGGTCACTCCCCTCCACCTCCCCCAGCCCCTCGCTGCTGCCACTGATCTTCTCTCTGTCTCGAGGGATTTACCTATTCTGCATATTTCATATGAACAGAATCATACAATATGTGATCTTCTGTGACCCCTGGGTGATATCCAAAGTGTTGTCTGCCCACGGCAAAGAGACCCACACGGGCCTGCCAGGGCTGGTGATGATGTGGGGCCTTGCCAACCCCTAAGGAAATGGTCTGGAACCTAAGGACTTAGAGCGTTCCTAGGGTGTTTTCACTAAGCAAAGACGGCTCAGAGCTGACGTTTAACCCAGGGGTGGCTTCCAGAGGAGCCACTAAGGGCAAGTACGACATTCGCTTAAAGATGAGTTGGCTGACAGAGTGAGCTGGGAGCTCACTGCGGGGCAGGGGCTCACGTGCCACCTTGCAGGGCAACCAGCCTACGCTGAGCCAGGAGCCAGGCTTTCTCTGCCTTCCCGTCTGGCTCAGGGGATTCAGTTCATTGCAAACACTTACTGAGTTAGACCCCAGGGATTGCTTCCCTGTTTAAAGGGCTTAGACATTGATTTCTTTAAGATATTTGTCCAAAACCTCCCCCGTGCCTCCATTTCTCCCTCTGGAAAGAGGGTTTCAATAGCAGAGACTCATAAGGTTCCAGGAGCTAATAGAAAACTGGACACGGAGCCCCAAGTGCAGCGTCTGGCCCCTGGGAAGCATAAGTGAACAGAAAGAATGGGAGCTTGCACAGGACACACATATACTAAAACATTACTCACTCTTTATCAGAAATGCAAACGCAACTGGGTATCTTTGCAAATCTGGTGACGCTGCGAAGGAACAAGCCGAGAGACACTCATGCCCCAGTTGGCAGTGTTGTGATAGGGACACCTCATTCTAGAAAGGAGACATGCAGGGGTGTGATTCAGAGTGGGGGTGGGGCTCAGGCCTTGAAGAAGGTAGAGGAGTGAGTTCCCTGGGAGGGAAGAGGGGACCAGCTGGGCTCTGGAAGAAAAGGCAGGAAGGTGCCAAGCAGAGCAAATTGTCCATTTGGGGAACCCCAAGTGCCCTGAAGTAGTGACAGAGTGAGGCTCTGACAGGTTTCAGAGGGAGGGAGGGAGGGAGCCAGAGAGGAAGTCAAGGGCCCAAGGAGCCACACAGCCCTGACTCTTCAAGAATTTCATAATGTGGGTGGATGCAGTCATTGGAATCAAGGCCCTTGGGGAGGAACAATGTAAGGATCACAGTAACCCAAGAACAATCAGGCAGCCAGGGTCATTAAGGAGGTGACATTTGAGAGGAGGAGCAAATGACCCAACTCAATGCAAATTCTTCCTTCTTTCCCAGACTTGTGCAACGGTCTCTCCTACGGCACATGTCTGTGAATTACCCGGTTATGCATTAGCCTGGTGGTTCTCAACGAGTGGTCCTCAGGCCAACATCACCTGAACATGTTAGAAAGGCAGATTCTCAGGCCCTACCCTGGATCTAATGGATCAGAAACTGGGCA